CAATGCAGAGAATTTTCACAGCATATTTTACCCCCTAATAAGGAATGTTTAATAAAAGTCAGAATCCCTTGTATTTCTTCCAAGTCTCTTTGTATGTTCCCACTATACCTTTTTCCCCCCATATAATGCTTACCTTTCCATTGTCAGAAGACTATTAGGAATAAAATTGACAGCAGGATAATATAGATTGCTCTTTGCTCCAGGATAAATCTGATCCAAAAGAGAAGAACCTGTAATGGCTCGAGAAAAAACCAAACTCAACTTAAATACCTCTCTTTTGCCCTCACATATGATCACTCCTTATGCCATTGCCAGTTGGAATTCATATTCACAAAGACAGACCTATCTGAGATGCCCTACACAAGTCAAGATGTTCTAGGCTTCAATATTAAAAAAATAGATATTAAGTCCTAAAAAGCCACTCTCCTGAATTTCCCAGAAAGCTCGTTAGGAAGAACAGAAACCATGGAGGACAATCCTGGCACTGCTGACAATTTCTTCAATCATACAATCTTTTACAATTTTAGAGGCTGAGGCATGATATGTGCCATTTAGTAATGTTAGACTGAGACGATGATTGAACTCGAGAAAGTTGGTGGACGTTCTGAACAGATCACAGAGTTGTGGACCACCGGTGACCTTTGACCACCCAGATGCAGGCATAATTGCATTTGGCTAGAGGAGGAGACACTATCCAGTTGGGATGAAAGCCCATGGATCTGGAGACCACTAAGGAGTAGGATGTTCAGAGACCCTTGTTGAAGAACACCAGGTCATGAGGGTACTTCCCCAGCAGCTCCTACATAAACAATGCCACAACAGGGATGTATTTTATTTGTTTTTAGAACTTTTTCCAGTCATCTCTGCCTCTAATGTCACACTAATTTGACATGTTGAAGTCCTTAATATTGACCATGCCTGAGGAAAAGTTCAGCATCCAAACACTGGACAAAAACAAAGCTGGAGGTAGTATTCAGCAGGCACACAAAGTGTTATGCAAAGACACCACCATGACAATTTAAGAATCCATGAGGGACAGGACCTCTGGAACCTCTGATCTCAGAGAAATATAAAAAGATTTCTCCTCTTATAAGAGCTTGGAAAAAACCACACACTCCACACAGAATTAATATATTAAATCTCTACACTTAGTCTGGGGTGGGATGTGTTTGCCTTCCTCCTTCTAGAATCTATAGAACTCACCTGAAGTTCTGGCTCCAAATGAGAAACCTTGAGCGAAGACTGTTGTGGGAAGAGAGCACAACAAAGAGGGGTTGCAAAGGTTAAGAAGACTCCACAAAGGAGAATCTGAAGTGGAGCACTGATCCAGGGCATTCTCTGCAGTANACACTATCCAGTTGGGATGAAAGCCCATGGATCTGGAGACCACTAAGGAGTAGGATGTTCAGAGACCCTTGTTGAAGAACACCAGGTCATGAGGGTACTTCCCCAGCAGCTCCTACATAAACAATGCCACAACAGGGATGTATTTTATTTGTTTTTAGAACTTTTTCCAGTCATCTCTGCCTCTAATGTCACACTAATTTGACATGTTGAAGTCCTTAATATTGACCATGCCTGAGGAAAAGTTCAGCATCCAAACACTGGACAAAAACAAAGCTGGAGGTAGTATTCAGCAGGCACACAAAGTGTTATGCAAAGACACCACCATGACAATTTAAGAATCCATGAGGGACAGGACCTCTGGAACCTCTGATCTCAGAGAAATATAAAAAGATTTCTCCTCTTATAAGAGCTTGGAAAAAACCACACACTCCACACAGAATTAATATATTAAATCTCTACACTTAGTCTGGGGTGGGATGTGTTTGCCTTCCTCCTTCTAGAATCTATAGAACTCACCTGAAGTTCTGGCTCCAAATGAGAAACCTTGAGCGAAGACTGTTGTGGGAAGAGAGCACAACAAAGAGGGGTTGCAAAGGTTAAGAAGACTCCACAAAGGAGAATCTGAAGTGGAGCACTGATCCAGGGCATTCTCTGCAGTACACCTCTCTTCTCCAGCTTGTCCATAACCACTGGAATCAGAACTGAAACAGACCAAGATCCTATTTTGTTATGTAAGGGAAATTGACTCTCAAAAGTGCAGGAGTAATAAGTCCTGTCAGTTAGGCTTCTTACCCTCAAAACTGATCAGAAAAGCAACATTTTGGGGGGAAAAGAGAGACAGATGGCTATAGGAAGCTACTTTTTAAATTAAGCATATCCTGGAAAGTTCAAAATCCAATGTCAATATTTGCTTCTCAGGCACACCTGAGATTGACTTTTAACATCTAAGCCTGCACTAGACGAGAGTATAAGTGCATTAAAAGGAGTTGTTTATGATTCAATAGCCTGGGCTGTGTTCACTGCACATCTTAATCTCATTTCCTGTGTGGCTTTTCCTTGGATGCCCCAGTTTCAAGAAATTTTTTTTTCCAGAGTAAATTGCTTTGGGAGTTGGAGGCACTTTAATTCTTGCTGCATCACAACCAGACTGGGAAAAGCCATCATTCATTGGTAACGCTGTAATCTCATCTTTCATGTCACTCAAAAGCTAAAACACTTTCAATGAGAAGCCTTCAAGATAGCTGAAAGCAAGGAAAAATATATTCTCATGTGCTTTATTGGGCCACAAATACATGAACACACAATAACTTACGCATTCCAGGTGCTGCCATGGCTATCCTGCTGATCACCACAAGCCCAATGCCTTTCTTTGCTGCCGTCTTGGAATCCCCAACTCTGTTCCCATTCACATCAAAAACAGGGGTTCCCTTCTGTAGTTCTCTGTGGAGAAAGGAAGACTCTTGATATTTTGCAACATTGAGGATAGGTACCATAGAGGGTATAGCTTTAACAACATTCCTAAGATGTTAACATTTGCTCAATTTCACATTTAGGGAAGAATTTCAAGACTTTCAAGATCACAATGTTAATTAGAGGTTCAGCATGAATTCTTCACTTGGGCATTGCAACACTGGAAATCTTGTTCCTGCCCTGGTTGATTCTGCTAAATCTGCTTGATGCTGTTTATGGTCTATTTCTCACCAGACACACAAATACTTCCGAACCAATCAGAACAGTTCAGAGTTAAGAAATGGTTGGGGATTCTATTTTGCATGAGAATAAAAGTTTCCTGTGCATTGATCAATGACAATGAGGTTCTATTTTTCTATTATTAGTCTCTTGTGTCTTTGAGACAAGGAAGATCATGCTGCAAAGTCATCTGGTATGTGTGTGTGTCTCTGTGACCTGCTAGAAAGCTGAAAACTGTTTAAATGATGTTTTATTAAATCCTACCACTCCACAAGGCTTTTGATGTTGACCTACTGTTAAGAACAACATCCATCAATATCTAGACAATACCAAGGAAAATTACTTGTAAAAATATTTAAAAAACCACTGACTTGGCCATGCTAATACATGCTGGATCTCACTGGAGGACCTGGATAAGCAGTATTAGTGTCATACTGTGAGAATTCATGAATATAACAACTGGATATTTACATGCAATCCACGCATAAAAGTAACTATTTGCCTATGTGTGGGGACCCTCTTGTCATATTTGTATATGTACAAACAATATGTGCCTATTTTGAACATGAACAAGGCAGAAGCAACACCTCTTGAGAATACATGGTGGTATCTGCATTACTCAGTTTTCCAAGGAGGAAAGGAAATGGACATACTGAAGTCGCATCATGGGTATATTCACACAGTTGGCTGCTGCAACTGCTACAAATGGCACCATCCGTCCCACCAGTGGAGGGAATGACTATAATTAAAAGGAAACAAAGGTTTAAAAAGAAATATCCTGAGATTTAGAATAAAATGAGAGCAATCACAGTTTCATATAGACTTAATGGTGGCCTAATAGAGTAGTCCACTTTCTAAAACAAAATTTAAAACTAGATAGTCTATGTAATCTTATACTTACATTTTTTAAGAAAGGAAGTTCAATTTCAAAGCTGTGTAATAAATTCATTTCATAATTACACATATATGTGCTCAACTTCCAAATTCACCTTGTTTTCTTCATCTCCTCAATATTACAACCAATTTCTAATTTACAAAAACCAGAGTGAAATGCTTGAAGAGTTTCATTGTGACTAATAAATAAGACAAGAAGATTTAATATTATTGATAATAATGAAAAGTAATGAGTATTTGAAGACATAATTGCCACTTTAAAAAAATCAATAATTTTGCAAAATAGAGAAATTGTGATACAGTTACTGACACTCCTTGTGGACAACACATTTCCTGATAATTTTATCCCCAGAAGGTCTCATTTAAATCAACCCACTTTGGGCACTCTCACCATATACCATAGGAATTTTTTGTCTCTTCACTACAATGTACTGGAAACTCATTTTTGTGCCTAACTTTGTGCTGGAGAAAATCTAACATAGGACCCACAAAAAAATTTAATGTTGAAGATTCCGTGACAAGGGACCAGAAAAGGTTAAATAAGTTTTTTTTCTTTCTGAAAGGTAGAGGGCATTGGCAAGTCTACTCACTTCCAGATGAGATAAAAGAAGCAAAAAGGAAACTTCTGAGAAACTTTAGTGATGATATTAATTGGAAAGGACTTCCTCAATGACACAAGCTTGCAGAGAATTCCTACTAGTACAAGAAGCCAACATTAATATAATCAATTAAGTGATAGTGCAATGATCTCATTGACCATTCTATATATATCACTAAGAACCTTCCCAGAAGAAAACTGGGAAACACTTTTTTAAATTTAATTTTTCCATGCAATGAATGTATGAAGGCCCATGCCAAGACACAACTAGCTGCTTTCCACAATGTTGAGGTCAATGCTTGCACCATGTCTTTTCCCAATTTGTACCAGGCTTTCTATTGAATGCATAAGGAATATTTTAAAATCATAATTTCTAAATTCAACATGCAGTGGTGTGCATAGAAATGAGACATCATGAATGAAAAAAACTTTTTGTGGGGCTGTCTCCAAAATTTTTGCCAGGGATGAAACTAAGGCTAAATATAATACTTTGTCTGGAGAAAAAGCCAAGACTAGGCCTAAAATAAATTTTTAGCCTCAGGCTAAAGCTAAAGCTAAAGTCAACTCTAGTCCACAGACAAATATATGATATGCACCAGATCAGCTTCACTTTAACTGAACTGACTTTACATTGGGCATCTAAGAAAACATTTATAACTTGTAAATATGAGCATCTGACTCTGATAAGAGCCCATTATAAAACCAGGTCAGTTAAACTGATCATCTCGTGCACACCACCCAATAAGTAAAACAGGGTTCTCTGTATAGCATTCTTTATGATGGGCTTGCTTGCTTCAAAAATTTTTTGAGAGAACCCTGCACACAGAAACTAAAATGACTAATAAATGTTGCCTGGCAGAAAGAGAATGGGACAGATATCATAAGTAATGTCCCACACATCTGACCAGGAACATGGTCCAGCCTGGACAACTCATTTCCAGTGGTGTCCTCCTAAAGAACAAATCCCTCTCCCCACAGCATCGTGGGCCCATGTATATAGATCTAATAAGTCCAGAATCTGGGATAGACAAGGTGATATGTCTTGATGCACAAGACATGTCAGGATATGTTATGCATATGATAAGCCCCAGAACAAAAAAATATTTGATTAGTTCCCTTGCACTCCTCAGTGAACATGCTTAAATGTGCATAATGGGTTGTCATCCTTAGCAGAAACAGGTGGCTTCAGGTTACTGAGCTGATAGCTGAGGGGATTTGCATGGGGAACCTGCATTTTGTTAGAATAGAAGAAATTGGAAGATTATAAGGATGTAGAGATTACATGGGTATTGAAGAGAGATAAGAGTAACTAATACCTCAAAATTCAGGCTTGATATCTAATTAGATCATCACTGTTCATGCAAACTCCAGCTGCAGTCTAAAACTGTTTTGCACCAGTAAACCAGTTATAGCAATAATGGAATTGTGGAAATGCATGTTTGGGAAAATATCTACAGAGATATGAAGATGGGATGTCACAACCATATGGAAGGATAGTTTTTGGAAAGGACAACAAGGGAGTGACTAGCCAGCAACTAAAATTATCTACACAATTTGTTAACCCTTATATAACTTCAATTCATCATGTAAAGATAATCTTGGATAAAATATGATATCACATGCTCTTGGCATTAGAGTACTTCCAGAAGAAGAAGACACTAGTAATTGACTATTGCTAGTGTTCAAGCAGCATTCTTGTACAAGATCTGACCAAGAAATGGTGGCATCACAAAACTCCAAGATCATCTGGAAGTGGATAAGAATATATTACACCATAGTAATGGACTTAATGTCTTCCAAGTAATACAAACATAGGAAAAGTTGAGGAAACTGAGCTTGGATTGAAAGGTGCCATTGCTTGTTGAATTGGCCCTGCAAGTTGGATGCTGCCATCTTTCAGAGAGTCTCATGACATATCATAATAATCAGAATGACTGAGTTACACAAGTTCATTGTAAATACTACCTTCACCAAGATATGAATTCAGGCTTTATCTATGAGGTTACAACTATTATGCTTTTCACAAATTTTGATTAAAACCCAGAGTTTTTCTCCTTTGGCATGATAGAGTTTGTTATATAGATTCCTTATTTGCTCTGAGAAAAATAAAGCTCTGTTGAGGGTATGACAACACATATTTGGTTTTCTCCATTACTACTTCATCAATTTTTTGCCAGCTTCAGACATACCTACCTCTATTGTAATGTTAAAGTCATCAACCTACAATGGCACCTGATGAGAGAAAATGTATATGCATATTGAGAATAGTAATGAGAGTGTGGAGGATACCAATTTATGAAGAGTTTCAAGTACCAGTGGAAGAGGGTATAAAACAAAGTTTTTAATACTTTTAATACAGATTTAGTACTTCTGAAACACATGGTCCAAGGTGCATGGATTTTGAAATAAGTCAAGTTTTTCCAACTGTGAGGGGGATTGCTATGTGTAGGTACTTCTACAGGAAATATAACAGTTCTATTTTCTGGTGGCCCACCAAGAAGTGGCAAAGAAATTGGCTGTAACATCTACACTATGAGCTCAAGTTAAATACTCAGCAATCCATTACACCTCTTTTTGTTTCATACCTTGTTTCATTTCAGCTAAGAATGTCAAAGGATCAGTTGGATAGCATTTCTTAAGGCCAAATCACCAAGATGAAAGTAAATATGACTATTGACCATCCTTGTAGATGTCTATATTATGGAGTGAACTTACTTGAGCTCAGTCTAAAGCTACATGAGGATTTCAACTAGCAGGGTAACCCAAGAACAATATAAAATCACAATTACAATGATAATCTGAATCTCAACAACTGTGATTTTTTCTTTAATTTTTTTTTACATTTATATAGAAAAATTTAGAAGTGGTATTGCTGAAGTGTTGGAGCAAGAGTGGAGGTGAGGAGGAAGTGGGAGATCTCAGCATTCACTCCTTCCCACTTGCCTATCTAATGCTGATACATGGAAAAATGTACTTTTTCCCAAAAAAAAATTAGTATTAGCCAGATGCACAAACTTCACCAAAAACAGTCAATACCAAGACCATGTGCATCAGAGCACTGATTTTTGTAGCAATCAGAGATATATATATATATATATATATTTTTTTTTTTTCTTTTTTAGTTCTCACTTGGAAAGAAAACAACATCAAGTCAGAAGGATACACAGGATGCAACTATAAGTGGTCTAACTCCTTTTTTTGGAAATGAGGCCAGCTAAAAACTACCAGATTTCTGAGAAAATAAAAAGTTCAGAGAAGGAATTGAAGACACCCCTAACTCAGCCATAGTTCAGCAACCTGATAATGCCTCTGTGGGTTCTGGGACTTACATTGACGAGTTTATTGAGTCCTAAGGCAGTTACTAGAGCACCACCAGTTGCCAAGACGTAAGATGCCCCGAGCTGCCTGCAAATCAGAAAATAACTGAAACTGAAGGACAATACACAGTGCTATGATGAAACCTGTTAGAAACCCATCACCATGTCAAAGAAAATCAAACAATGAATTTTGCATGGACCCAAGATGGTGATTAAAGATCCAGGTTTAGACGACAGGAAGCACTCTTGCACATACTGACACCTCAACCTCAAGTCAGGTGAAGTGGTCATCAATCTCTAAACTCAATAGTAGGCTTATTCAACATTGAAGATTACTTCATAGCCATCTACAGCCTAGTTACAGTAGACTACTAACAGATATATTACACTCATTTTTTTCTTCCTTATTGATTGAGCTTCTTAGGTATTGATGAAAAGTGGAGCCATTGCTCCATTCAAGGAGATACTCTTTCAGGAACTAGGTGACCTGCCTAATGATGAAGAACTTGGTTCGAAAATTTTAGTTATCCATCCTCCTCAAGCTATCATACATGCATGTGTTTCTGCTCAAAGAACAAAACCAGTTTTAAGCTTCTTCTTGGGCAACAGTTGGGTAACAAAAAAAAAAGTGGAGTTCTGATTTGTTCTGACAAACTGATAATGGCTCAGAAGAAAGCCTCACCATGAAGAAATTTTTAGGTTGTTGCAACACAAAGCTGAAATACCCCAACATTGAAACTGAAAATCAGCAGTTGGAAAATATTTGTGCTAAATTTCTGAGCCAAATGGAAAAATGGTCTAAACTCCTTTGTATACAGAGGAAAGGAAAAGGAAACTGAGGGCATAAAAGGCGAGAAAAATGAGATAAAAAGCTGAAAGAAAATGTAAAATTTGGAAGGCCTGTATCCTCCAAGGTAGAAACAGACTTACGTTGGGGTGATAGGAGAGTCTCCACTCCGATTAGTGTAGTTCACCACTGCATTGAAGGATTGATTGAACCACTGCCAGAAAACCACACTTTTTGTTGTCCTGTAAAGTGGATTCCCAGAAATGTGAATTTATGATGCCAATCATGATGTTATTCTGAAACAGATTTAATTCACAGGTGAAAAAGAATTCATGCCTTCTCAATTTGAAAATATGCTGCTCCAAGACAATGTCATCACAAATGATTGCAATTATCAAATAAAACATGCTGATTTATTTAAAGAGAGCCCCAAACACTCCCCAGTACATGTTTCATGGGAATAAAATCACATCAATTTGCTGAAAATTAGGCAAGCAATAGTCTAACATCAGTGTGAGTTCCCATAGATTAGGGGAAGTTGAACCAGACCATGTTCAGATTTGAGGGTACAGGGTAATCATAAGATGCCAGAGGAATGTGTACAAGCTGCCATCACAGCACCAAGAACCATAGAAACCCTATAAAGTACATTAAAGTTTCAGATATGCTGGCTGTCACTTGGCATGGTAGAAATAACTGACTTTGACATGCCAGCAGGTCATTGGAAGTCAATGTGTAAAGGGATGAGAATTAGTTTTGCAAAATATCTGGAAAAGCTGCTTGTGGCAGTTGAGACAAGATGATATTGCTGAACAAGTATGAATCCAATAAAAAATGATGCAAAAGGTCATCCCATTTGATTGTCAAAGGGGTTCAAAGGGATGAGTGTTTCAGGGTAAAAAGGAACCATTGTGATGAAACTTAAGAGCAGATATTGATCATAAATAGAAGAAAAGCCAGTTGGCTCACTTGAGCATGATTTTTTGTCCTTAACTTGGAAGTAATCTACATCAAAGATAAAATACAATAGAATAGGGCACTTGGGAATTGGGTTTGAGGAGGTCTAGATGGTTGCATCTTGCTCCTGGAAATAAGCCAGTGGTAGGGGTGGAGGTTGGGTAAAAACCAGGCAACTCTTTAGCTTCTGCTCTGACACTCTTACTTTTAGGATTTGAGCCAGAGAAGAGCCCCTTCTAGCTAAATTCGGAGTGGGAGGTGTGATGACTTCTGACCCTAAAAAACCTGTACCAACCCACCCTCTAAGTGGGCCCCTGCTTAATAAACTATATATATGATAGTGGTGATGTAAAATCACCCAACCCATATATTGATTAAACTCACTTATAGAATGTCATCATGCAACCAGTTATGAGCATATTCATTGGAACTTGTGCAGACATTCGTCCCACTAAAACCATTTTCTCTCCAGTATCGGGATGGAAGGCAGAGTCGTACATATGCTTTGCTCTCCATAGTTCATCGATAGTCACATTCGTAAGAGTCTCACCCTTCCTAGGAAAAGTAATGAGAAGATTGTCAGGAAGATGATGACATTATCACATAAATGCACTCACTTAAAATACAAAATATAGTATGCTCTACCTGTATGATCACATGGTTAGTAATGCAAAACCACAAAATAGATATAAGACAGAGATCTGTAACAGATCTTTTTGCAACTTTTTTTCTTAGCTGAGTTTTATCCTATTGTATTTCAAACATACTTAGTCTATTTCATTTCTGTTTTATATCATGCAATTACTTTCCAAGCAATTGAAAAAATATATAAATAATTATCCACATTTGCTGAAAAACCAAAGAAAACAACTAACTAATAAAAGAAAAAGTGGGAGGAAAAGATAGGAATATTTATCCCATGATACATACCTCCAGCTGGTGGTTCAGAAACTGGGGGAGAAACTGGGTACCCATTTGATGATGATTTCTAACATTTATACATAGGCCTACCCTATGCACCATGCATGCAGCAGACATACTTGTATTGAGTGACAATGTCATGAGCCTTCTGAAGCTCCTTCTCTGTGCAAAGTACATTCAATGGATTCGTAACCGTAAGAAAATGCCTTGCTCTTCCAGCATATGTGCTCTGGTCCCAGCGTGGCTTAAAGATGTCTATCTTTCTTCCCTTCACTTGCTCTTCCATTTTTATTCAAGCACCACCTGAAATATAACAAGATTGGGTTTATTGACTGAATCACAGCACCAACTTTTGTAACAGGCTTGGACACAAGTTAACCTACCCCACTCGACCAACATCAGCATATAGAGTAGTAATCAGAGTAATCTTAACTGCTGCACAAATAACATTCATACCCCCCTTTAGTTTATGAACAGGGAAAGCACTACTTCCAAAGGATCCGCTTCATCAGATGATCTAAGAAACCACCCTTGAAGAAGGTGCTACGGTCTGCTATCAATGGAAGTTTCAAACCGGACCTTTGGTTCTCCAGCAGGTCTTTAAATGCAAATCTATAAATTCACTTAATTTCATTCCTCATAGGCCC